ATACGCAAGCCCCTTCACCGCTGCAAGGTAACGATCCTTGAAGGGGAAGAGTACACTACATTCGCTTAAATCGATTGTTGAATTGAAATCATTCATTTCTGAATTCATTTATTCAGTTTAAATAATTCAGCGCAATATTTTAACTTTTAAATTAGCTCTATTTCAGTAATCAACTGAAAATTATTCAATAACAGTATTGCCATTTTAACGAGACTTTCTAGGGAATTCGCACAACATCACTGAATGCCTACCGTAAATAATAACTGATGAAATAATTCTTTTATTATCTAGACAAATGCAATAGTTTAAAATGAACATCGATATAAATCTCATATGAAGATATAACAATACTTGATGATATCTTACCTGAAACGAAGATGCATACTTTATATTTTTTAAATGAGTAAATACCAGATTTTAATCAGCTCAATCAATAAATCTTTGATTCTAAATTATTTCATGGCCACTTTTTCCTACATTAATCAGTATCAATTGATATAGTATACCGAACTTCAGCATGCACGTCTAAGATCAGTTCAGCATCGTTCTTACCATTTATTGAACCGAGCAGTTCCACCAAACAACGATTTAAAAATTGGAGTTTCTCAATTAAAACTAAATGTGTTTTATGACTATCGCGATAGAAATCGTTGAAAAATTGAACAATCTGATTAAAATCAGGTTTTTTTCTTTTTACCTGGGTTGTCTAGTTTCATGTCATTCAAGTCTCTACCATATTTTTCTATCTGTTTTATTCAAAATTCTTTGAAAGCAAGAAAAATTTAAAAAGGACTGACAAAACTTCCAGTCCTAGCTACCACTGATCAATGAATTCTCAGAAAGAACGATTCTTTTATCTGGTTTCAATTCAAATTTGATTGAATCTTGGCAAAATTCCACAAACCCGATCAGAGTCTATCGCAGTTCAATAGAATCCAACTAGGATTAGTTGCAGTTGAATTTGTTTACACCGCTATTTGAAATAGACAGATATTTTTAATTTTCGAAAAGACTATTCAGTTTTAAACTTTCTAGTCATCTCCGACTTGAGCAGAAAAAAACTTTATTTCTGACGTCCGCCTCTAATAATAAAAATATGAATATGCAGAAAAGTGTGCTTTTCATTCGTAAATAAGCGTAGCATTTTTTCATTCAATTCCTAGATTCCACTGGCAGACTAATAGTAAATATTCTTTAACTCTTCGACATTTGTTAAATTTTCTTTTTCCCTTTTTTTTTTATCTAACAAGCCTCCATTGACAAAAGATGAAAAACGTCAATGTGTTGGTATTTATTGCTCTATGATTGCATCTCTGTCTGTCGTTTTTGGTATTTATTTATGGTCAGGTTTATATTATTTGGTAACACGAATATGCAATTAATTTTTTTACTTAAAGTAACACTCAAAATTGATCTTACACCAAAGAGATGATCTTGTTTTCTTGATATTTCAAAAATGCATCAACTTATTGAAGTATATTTCTTGACAATATCTAGCATCAGTTTCATAGCAGATATAAGTTAAATAGGACGTTTCTCCGCTTTTCGCTTGATATACTAGGTAAAATATATTGAAAATTATCTCATTTGATTTGACTCAAAGTTGATTATGTACTTCATATAAAAATAGATGTGCATTTAGTAATGGAAACTTTTGCATTTTTTTGTTTTTGAACAAAATAAAGAGTCTTTAGAATAATATATTAATGAAATTTCACTCCTTTTTACAGTTAAAACAATTTTGAAAAGTGTTTTTTGTTTAACAGCAAAGGTTGCAACATTTTCCGTTGATAAATTCCTATTTAATCAGTATGAAGTGGGCGATCAATTTTGAATTAATGCAACTAATATCGTTTTCAGTGCATGTTATGTAACAGTGCAAATACACAATGAAGAGACTACAACTTAGCACATTTAAACTACTATATAAAAGCTACATTGTGCCAAAGACTACATCTCAATATGTGAAAGCATTCCTTAGTTATCAGAAAAATAAAGATAGATAATAGATTAATGATCCATCTTGAGCACTACTGTGGCAGTTTGAACGAAAAGTGATGATCTTCTTTTAGAAAAAAAATTTGATTGCACCAGCAATTGTTTTACTTGCTGTTAGTTTGGTGTTATGTGCGATGATAATCAACTGGTTGACTATTGGTGTGTATACTCTTATCCGGCAGTTTCGTCATAGTGAGCAACATCAACTTAAAGAGACCTTCAAATGTAACAATTCTTTTCGTTTTTGCGAAGATCAAGTGATGGTGGTTAAAAGCAAATGTTGGCAAATTGAGGACGATACCAATCGAGGTTCTTATTCAAGCACATCAACAGCTCATTGTTTAATATATCATTGAATTCCAATTCTAATATACTATAGATGTTATCATATTTGATCAAAAATTGTGATCTATCACATAAAATAATTTTGCTTTAATCGAATTTTTTGTATGCACATGTCTCGTTATATTTGTTGTAATATACTTGCTTATCCGCTACTTTTTCATTTTTTTCTCAATATTTTCATTAATGATGTTCGAATTAGTTATCTGCACAGGAATTGTGAACAGACATAAAACGAAGTGATAAACCATGGTACACAAGAAAAAAGTCAGAAATAAGAGATACTAATAACGACAGGTAAGGATGTATATATTGCATTATCCAATTTTCTCAACTGCACGTATGCGAAGTAAATCATCGAGTTTTTCTGTCAGTCACTGTTTGTTCTGGGAGTAGTCCAAATTTGTCAATATCGAGTAATACTGGTCAATTCATACTTACTCAAAATCTGCCGTACGATATGTCAGCTTTCATGAAGAATAATATTTAATTCAATTATAATTAAGTATCAATCAATTGTTAATTCGATTTTTTGTTATTAAAAACTTAAATTTTTTTCAGTTAGAATATACTTTATAAACAACGTCAATCTTTTTAGTATTATTAAATATTTTTATTTTTAAATTACATGATTAAAAGTGTCAAAAGTTCTCATTGAAAAGAATTCATATTGTGAATATTTATCGTCTTAAAAGATCAAAAGGTTCGAATTCAAAACTGCATACATTAATTTTTATCAAATGACAACATCTATATTCATATTCACTTTCATGTTTTTTCCCATTACTATGAATTAACATTAATTAAGAACCTCATCACTAGTAGGATCCATATCTGGAAATGAATACTAGATTAATTAACTTACTTACAGTTCAAGTTCATTTTTTTTCTTTTTTAATGGAAAATTTTTTGACGTCGGAAAAAAGTTACTTAAGGAAAATATAACATTATCAAAAAAAAGCGCTTGACTTCTATTCCACAATAATCAAAAGCTGTTGTTGGAACTCAGAGGAACTAAGGTGAATATGTCGTCATTAACTATTTCATTGGATATAGCTCAAAAAATGTTAGTTCAATATTGTCATACGACAATATTTATACTTGGTACCATTGGCTCATTAATTAATATAGTTCTTTTTCTACGACGTCAATTACGATCAAACTCATGTTGCATTTGTAAGTTATTTAATGATAAAACAACAAATTGATAAATGTCTTTTTTTTATTTTTCAATTAAAGATTTATTATCATCATCCATAAGTGGATTAATATTACTTTCAATAGGTATTGTACCACAAGTCTATGCTCTTTATAATTCTCCAAATCCATTTACTACAATTTCAAGTTTTTGTAAAGCTCGATCTTATTTAAATCAAACAAGTGCTATGTCATGTCGTTGGCTTTTAGTTATGGCTTGCATAGATCGTTGCTTTTCATGTTCAACTTATACTTCTATTCGCAATTTATCTTCTGTAAAAATGGCTCGAAAACTAAGTATTATTATTAATATTATTTGGTTAATATTACCAATCCATACACTTATTTACAATAATATTCAACCTCCAGGAAATATAGCTTGTGCAATAACAAACAATGATGTAGCAATTTATCATCGTTTTTATACAATTATAATGGGTGGTGCATTACCATCTTTAATTTCTTTCATATGTTGTTTATTCATATGGCATCATTTTCAAAGTAGAAGAAAACGTCAAATAATAATTCCTAACAATGAAATTGATAGACGAAAGAAATTACGAGATCAACAAATAATATTTATGTTATTAATGCAAGTAGCAATATTTATAATATCTACAATACCATTCATGTCATTTAATATATATAATACTATGACACAATATGATACCAACAAATCAAAAGATCGTAAAGCCATTGAAGCATTTTTGAAAACATTAACTGAATTACTTATCTATTTGATAACATTGTCATTTTATTCAAATACATTAGTATCACGTACATTTAGAACAGAATTAATTAAGTTATTAAAACCTATTATTATTTGTAATTGGGGACAAAATCATTCAAAAATAACTCCATCGCATACTGCAATGACTAATAATATTAAATTAACAATGATGACAAACAGAACAGCTATCATATCAATGCCTCAAGTCATCACAACAATAGTCTAGCGATGAAAATTGATTTAATTGACTTTAACACAAATCCAATCAATTAATATGTGATTAACAGACATTAGAACATTAGTTTTTCCAATAGTGGTATTTAAATTGTTTAGAAACCTGCTTTTGTGATCTCTTGCCATTTTCTTTGTTTACTACTATTGTCAATAAAATTTCATGTACAATATTGATGATTATATATTGTCCGTGTCTAATTGAATAGTATTGTTCTGCAATAGGATCGGGTACTGATTTGTGAACATATACGGCATTTAGTCTGACAATTAATCAAAAGTTGACATTTCAAAATATTTTTCGTTTCTCAGTCTGCTATTTATAAAAAAAAGTACAGAAATTTAAATTAGTTCGATCATAATCGCGCAAGTTTTGTACTTGAGAACAGGTCACAGAAGTGAAAAGAATTATTGTTTTACTAAGAGAATACCTTTTTAATGGAAATTTATCTAGGTATACTGAGGTAAAAATATAACGAAGTTACACAATACATGGGGAGAGAAATGAACTGTCAAAAAAGTGAACAGGAATGTTCGTGATAGAAAAAACGATTCAGGCATGTATCCACAAACATAACCTTTGGCATTAATACTAAATTTCATACCATTCCATCTTCATCAATAACAATCAAACATGTAATTAGAAAATTTGATCGGATTTTAGAGACAGAAAGACATCAAGTAAATCCTCAATTGTTTGATTCAGTTGCTTTTTTTGTGGAATTCAAAATGATCTGTTGTATCTGTTGCTGTTCATGGATTGTACGATGATTGTAAAACTATCTACTGGATGTTGATTTGCACCTAGTATTCGAGTGCAATCGAATTCAAGTATCAGGATCTGGCTGAAAAAACTGTCCCTGCACGAGACACCATTTAAAAAAAAGAACTATATCCACATCTTACTTCTGCTAATGTAATAGTAATGTATTAGTTTCAATCCGACGAACTGTTCAGACAGTTCTTGGAGAAAATTTAACTGAATTCAAACTAATTTTTTCCAAATAAAAGTCTTGCAAGAATAGTTATTATCTATTTCGTTGACTTCATTTAAAATCATTCAGTCGATAATCAGCAGATATAGTTAATATTTTTGTTTGCTTTATCTCGATTTTTTCTATCTCAATAAAGTGAATGTGGCTGTGGAGGGTGAATGTCGATGCAGATATTCTTTTTTTTTACACTCTTTAGTCAACAGCCGCAATTAGAAATATTGACACACATACGCACATCCTGTTTCCCTGTTTTTTCTTACTAAACGTTCATTATGAAAACTATGTCATTCTGCTTGTATTGACGAGTTTTGAAATCTATAAGAAGAAAATTAAACTATTATTTACTCCTGAGACATTTCTATTTATATCGATAGCAAGATTTTAAATGGTCAGCTATCCTATTCTCTCTTTACGCATATTGGAATTGATTATCATGAATTTTATAGCATTATCATTTCAACATCATCAATAAGTGGAATTTTAAATATATCGTCTTGTTTTCGTTAAAATAAGAAAAAAAAGAATACATTTTTTGCTTTATATGTTGCTGTTGTAGCAATAATCATTTTTCTTTTTCAATCATCAGCTTCATTCTAATATAAATTTATTTGATGTCTTGGTATAACATAATGAATATCTAGTTGATCACCAAAATTTTTAAATGTTATGGAAGTTTTTGAAGAAGAAACGATATCATCTGAATTTTTAGTAATACAATTATTATTATTAAAATTCATGTTTCAAAATGAATAGTTAAACCATTAACTAGATATTGAATCTACTTGAAATATTAGTTTGAGATAGCATCATATAAGGATTTTAATCTATGAGAATGAACTGTTTGTTCTTTCGAAGAAGTGTTTCTTTTTAATATATCATCACTATTTAACATAATCGGAAAAAAAATGAGATAATGATAGAAAAATAACATATGATCAGACATACAACGAATTAGTAAAATAGATATTGTTCATCGAAAATCAATAACGATGGTTGATAGACTAAATTATGAACTTATGATTTCATCATATGTTTCAAGTTATACTAAAGAAAAGAGTAAAAGTATGATTCGAATCTTTCAACTTCGATTAATACTGATGCCCACGCACACCATTTGATACAATATGTCAAGTTCCATTAAGAATAATATTCAACTCTCTTATATTTAAGTATCAATCAATTATTAATTCTAATTTTTTTTCACTTAAACCATAATTAATTTTCATTCATTCATTGATTCATTTTAAACTACCAAATGAATCTTTTATTATTATGATTTATCATTTGTGATAACAATGATTAATAAGACATATTTATGAAGAAGAATCTCGCAATTTTATTCCTTAATGATAATAATATTCAACACTGACAACATAATTTAGCCGTAATAATCATAATTATAATTTATAGATAAGGTCAGCCTATTGAGTATTACCAAAGATTTTTATTTTTAAATTAGATAATTGAAAGCATCAAAAAGTTCTCATAGAAAAGACTTCATATTGATAATCTTCTTTGAATTTAAAGAGAAAAAAAAAGTTCTGATTCAAAACTAAACAGATTTTATGTAAAAGATAACATTTGTGCCCATATTCGCTTTCTTTGTGTTTTTTTCTCTCATTCAGGAAATGAGGATAGTTGTATCATTAATATTTAATTAAGAATATCACCACAGTTATAACCATATCTGGAAATGAATATTAGATTAATTAACTTACTTATTTTGAGAGCATTTTTTATGAAAAACCCTTTGATATTAAAAAATAAGTGACCAATGAAACAACATTATATTATTAAAGACATTCTTGGATCCCATTCCATGATCATCAAAAGCTGTTGTTCAGCCTTAGAGAAAGTAAAGTGAACATGTATTCATTAACTGTTTCATTAAATATAGCTCAAAAATTGTTGGTTCAATATGATCATACGACAATATTTCTACTTGGTACCATTGGTTCTTTAATAAATATAATTCTTTTTCTACAACGTCAATTACGATCAAATTCATGTTGTATTTGTAAATTATTCAATAATAAAATAATAATACATAATTTGGTTTTTGTTTTTTTGTTTTTTAATTAAAGATTTATTATCATCATCAATAAGTGCATTAATATTACTTTCAATAGGAATTATACCACAAATTTATGCTCTTTATAATTTTGCAAATCCATTTACTACAATTTCAAGTTTTTGTAAAGCTCGATCTTATTTAAATCAAACAAGTGCTATGTCATGTCGTTGGCTTTTAGTTATAGCTTGCATAGATCGTTGTTTTTCATGTTTAACTTATGTTCGTATTCGAAATCCATCTTCTGTAACTACGGCTCGAATAATCATTACCATTATTAATGTTATTTGGTTCATATTGCCAGCTCATACGTTTATGTACACTAATATTCAACATCAAAGAAATATAGCTTGTATATTCACTGACAAGAATGTTGAAATTGATCATGAGTTTTATACTATTATAATGGATGGTGCATTGCCATCTGTAATTGCTTTTGTATGTTGTTTATTTATATGGCAACATTTTCAAGCTAGAAAAAAACGTCAAATAACAATTCCAAATAATGAAATTGATAGACGAAAGAAATTACGAGATCAACAAATAATATTTATGTTATTAATACAAGTAGCAATTTTTATTTTGTCAACAATACCATTCATGACATTTAATATTTATAAGGCAACGACACAATATGATGTGAGCAAATCAGCAGATCGTAAAGCTATTGAAGTATTTTTGAGAAGTTTAACTGAATTGCTTGTGTATTTGATAACAACGTCATTTTCTTGTAATACATTAGTATCATGTACATTTAGAAACGAATTAATTAAATTATTCTAAATTCTAATTATTTGTGATCGTCAAAAGAATCGTCTAAGAATTAATCCATCGAATAATACTACAACTAAAACAACAGTAATCCCAATGACAGTAATGAGAAAAGCTATATAATCAGTGCCTCGAGCGTTTGAAACAAGTATCAACATATGAAATCTCGTTTATTTCAATTTGATATCAATCAGACTAATTTATTTACGATGAAAAGACTTTATAGCATTAGTTTTTATCAAAATGAACAGAGAATTATGAAAAGCGTTATTATTAGTATTAATAAGTGATATTGCTAATTGTAAAATGACACTCATTTTGAAATTTTTCAGAAGCCTGCTTTTGTAATTTATTGAAAATAATCTAATACTTTATTCAAACTATTAATAAAAGTTTAGATGCAACTTTGATTTTTTTAAAAATCTTGATGAGATTAAAAGCACAAGTCAATAATAAAAATATTTCTTAAGTAAACATCCAATTGTTTCTATCGATTTCTATATATATATCATATAGTTTTATTTTATAGTAACTTTTTTATGTATAAGGAATCTTTCTAGTTGTTTTCATCTGATATGTAATATTTCGTCGAATGATTGATAGATTGTCGATTGTTCGAAGAAATAAAACGAAAACATTAAATAAGTCATCTACTAAGACTTTCTTTTTTTTGTATGTTATTCAATGGTAAAACATGTTACGAAATTTTCTTCCTCTTCTTACCTGTTAAAATGTGTCATTCGATCTACTCGTCTACACAATCGTTTTTTTTGTTGTTGCTTATCATAGTTCGCTTTTTTTATTTTTTATACAACAGTCTATCACATGGCAACTTCAACGACAAACAACTTGCATTGCATAACATGTGGCAAGCCACCAGCTACTTTTATGTGTCGAGGATGCTCAAAAGATTTTTGCATGCGTCATGCAAATGAACATCGACAAGAATTAGTCAAACAGATGGATGAAAATGTTATTTATTTTTATGATCAACTAAGACAGAATTTCGATGAACAAATGGAAAAATCTTCTGATCATCCATTGATGAAACAGATTGATCAATGGGAAGAAAATTCTATTGAAAAAATTCATCAAATAGCCAATGATGCTCGAAAACAATTATTAAATATAATTGAGAAACATATGGACAAATTTAAGAACGATTTAGAATATCTTAGACAAGAGTTAAAGAAAGCTCGTGATGATGAGCATTTTTTTGAAAATGATTTGAACAAATGGATGATAAAACTCAATGAATTAAAAAATGATTTAATAATACCACAAACAATTAATATTAATTATGATAACAATACAACTCCATTTATATCGAAAATAATTATCAAAGAAACAACAGATATGCTAAATGAACGCTTTGAACAATCTTTTGGTGATATAATTATTTCAGATAATGGTACAATTGCTACTCACAATACAAGTTCTTATTATGCATCAGTACGTGGCAAATGTGAATATACATCAGGAAAACATCAAATTCGTTTTCAAATTAAGCATTTAAGTAACGAAAGTTGGGCTTTTTTTGGAATTTGCTATAAAGATACGACTGCTACAGGATGCGGTTCAATAGGCAAAACGGGTTATGGCTTCTCCGGACAAGATAATGTATGGCATCATGGTTCTTCCAAGAAAGAATTTAACGGTTATAAAAGCGAATTTGAAATCAATGATATTATTGAATTACTTATTAACTGTGATCAACGAACAATAAGTTTAACAAATCAACGAACGCATAAAACACATAGTTTAGACGTTGATATCACAAATTGTCCTTTACCATGGAAATTGACTGTTGGATTTTATTTTTCACCTGGTGATTCTATTTGTATCTTGAATTAAACATTATTTATACATATTATATTAGAACTATTATTCTATGCCTCTTTTCTTCTTTTGACATACTGATAATTTGCACTCAACAATTCAAACGATAGAAATTGGTTTTGTCACAAAAATAATAAATTTTTCAAAAGTCTAAAACAGAAATTCATTTACATCTGTAGATGACTTTTTCTATAGTAATTAAAATATGTTATCTAGTAAACTAAATTTCGCCTACGTAAATCACCATGGATTCGAAGTAGTACAATAATAAGTAATAAATTTTCATAAGAAGATGTAATGTAGCCAAAGAAAGGCTTTTCATACCCAAGTATTTCCATAAAATTTTTTTTTACTTATTAATAGTTCTTGCTCAATAAATGAAAATAATTCATACCAAATAATATCAATTATGACGCTTCCTTGTCTAACACATTCATCAAATGTTTATTGAAAACTTGAAAGTGAGTTTGATCAATATTTACAAAATAAATCGAAGCAAATAAAAAATAAATATCATTGACTTCAATTTATCTGAATTTATTACTCTGATTTCGAAAAGCAAATATCAAAAATATGTATGAACAAAAGTAGACATCACTTTTATCTATCTACGAACCATTTTGATTGTTCCTATTTATTAATAAGATTATTATTGAAAACTAGATTTTATTATATTAGGTGTTGATCTAATTTGTATAAAATTCAATGATGAATAAATCTCGAACGTTCATGAGGAAAACTTCATTTGTCAATGATTATGCTTCTCTAACATAACATTGACTTTTTCTTTTTACGAAAAACTCAACAAGATTTTTTTGACTTTTGTTAAACTTTGACAAATGTTATTGTCAATAACATTGTTAATGACATTTTATTTAAATATTCTAGAGCAAAAACATTAATTTATTCAGCAGCATAAATTTGTATTCTTACCAATCATTCTTTGTTTTCAACATTTATATAAGAAAAGTCTTTGCACGTGTTCATTTTTATTTGAAAATTCGGATATGAATAATATTCATAGTTAAGTTCAATCTGTTGTTCGAGATAATTCTACAGTCATCAATATTGTTCATCGATGAGCAGGGATGATGCGATTGGGAGGAATGAGAAGTCATCTCCTGCTTCGGGAAACTTTGGCTGGGACTTTCTTCGGATTTCAAGTCAGTTTTCTTGGATATATGGAATTTTACTAAGCAGTTTTCTCCAGTTTTGGAGAAACACATTAGGCAACTTTCTTTGAGTTCGGAGAAAATTCAAGTTTGAAGAAATTTGTTGGACAATTTTATCCAATTCTTGAATTTTTTGAACGACAGTACCTATTAGAATTTGTTTTCCGTAATACGTCATGATTTTCTTGCAAAATTTGAACTCTTCAATCATTTCAGCACTTGCCATTTTTCCGTTGACCGCTTCCCCCCTAAATGATCTCATCAATAAGATATTTTGAGCATCTTATAGAATAAAAAGCCTTTTGTTCAGTGACTATTAAAGTAACGAATAATTAGCATCAAAGATTATGAGACATATTACTTATAGTATCAATCAGTTTGTTTCTACATAGTCATTTTCTGTTTCTACGAGTGAGTTAATTCTATATTTAGAGAAAAAATTTTAAACCAAACGCCTTAGTCTCGATATATATAATATGGTTGTTGATAGAAACTTAACAGGAAGACCTTTCTCAAAATTAGGATGATAGTTTATTTTTAACATAATTGTAAAATCTATACAACAAAAGAGTATCCTAAAAAGCGTTCTTCTTTCTTTGTGCCTATCACATCCACTTCCAGTAGGTGAAAGTATAAAGAAGATAACGCTAATCAAGCAATATGAAGTTAAATCAGAAAATATTTGAGAGATTATTCTCATATGTATGAACACATCTTTTCTCCATTTATAACAGTGTTGGTTCAACTCTATTCAGACCTCATTGATAAAGGAAATGTCAAGGTCAACTTGTTCTCGTGTAGAAGTGATTTCAGTGTATTTCTGAGATGTTTCGAGAAAGTTTTTAGAACTTCTGTAACTGAAATTCAGAGTAACTCTGTTGATTTCTAATTGATTCCAATCGATGACCATGAGCTACATACTCTTTTGTGTATTTTGTGAGATGCTCACTGTTAACTGTTACCGCTTAATTAGTGTCTAAGCTTAGCATCAATATTTTTCCTTTACGATGATCGATTTCTCAAAGAACTCAATTATCATTAACGTGCATGAGACAGAAAAATATGTCTCAATTATCAAATTTATTATATGATTAAGCATACAAATTTCAAAACTTTTTGAAATGATACCATTTTCATATCTCAGATTCCTCTTTCCCTCATCATCGTCACTGTCATTTTTTCGGCATTCTCTCTCTCTTGGTGACGTAATTAAAACATGAACAGTCGTTTAGCCAAGCGGAACTGTTATAAAGTAATAACATAGTTAATATTTTTTTTCGGTATTCAATAATTGATCATCTAAGTTTCTTTTTTTTACCAATGAAGATCTTCTTTTTAGAAAAGAACGTCGCGCACGATCTCAATCAGCAGATCGCATTAAAAAGAATTAGAAGAAACACTTTTTATTGGTATTTTTTTATTGTTATTGATCACATAAAGATGTGATGATCTATATATTTCTTTGTTATGATCTACAAATTTTTTGTTATGACCTATGCTTTTTGGCATGATCTATCAAATATATCTATTTGACTCATTTAAGAAAAATGATAATAGAATGCAAGTATAGTTCGACCTATCACGAATACATTTGTAGATAATGAACACTTTCTTTTTGATAAAAAAAAATATTACAATGCATTGATTTTTTTCCAACGAGATGTCTCAGTTATACATTGAACTATAATTATAGTAGAACTTGATATAATAAGATAATATATGAAAAGAGCAATATCTATTTCTCAGGATGGGATGACGTCAAATTGATCTCGGAGTGTTTAACCCATTCGCAACGATATGAATATTGGTTTTTCATAATTCGTGAAAGATTCCATTCCTTTATTTATGACAGCTATAATATTTCAAAACAGCTTTTATCAATGTTTCTCTAATAAGTATGAGCTATGAACATTTCTTTATCAGTGGTAGAAGAATCAGGCTCTTTCATCAAAGTATGACAGAGACTTTCAAGTTTTTCTGCAGTAAATGAGCTTTTAGGCCACTTTTTAGCGTGACCCACTCGTGGCTCATATCGCCTCGAATGGCTTAATTAATCCAAAAAATTATGAAATTGACCTCGTTTTTTTCCAAGTTTAAATTAAGAGAAAAAGATCTCGGAAAAAAACTGTTAATCTTCAAGAAAAGATCTATCTCGGTTGAGTATGTTAAACAGAAAATGGAAGTATAGTGTCTTAGTTTATGTAAACACTAATAAACAGAGTACAGTCTGCTATAAGACACACATTAATAATGTTATATTCCCTTGACTGAAGAAAGGGTTATATGAAATATAATTAGTGTGTGGCTATGCTTGTATGTTTGCAATCGCGTGTAAAGTTATGTGTACACATATTGAGTTAGTTTACAGTAGTGTATGTGCTGTATCTGCATCCCATCTCATGTGCTCACATTCAAGTTCCTGGAACGTCGATGAAGAAAACTTCATTTATAAATGATTATGCTTCTCTAATATATGATATTGACATGTTTTTCTTTGAGGATAACTCAACAGTATTGTTTTGACTTAGTTAAACTTGAACAAATATTACTGTTCGTGAGAGATATTATTTATATATTCTAGGGCAAAAACATTAATTTTTTTCAACAGCATAAATTTGTATTCTTGTCAATCATTCTTTGTTTTCAACATTTATATAAGAAAAGTCTTTGCACATGTTCATTTTTATTTGAAAATTCTAATATGAACAATTTTCATAATTAAGTTCAATCTGTTGTTCGAGATTATTCTGTAATTATCAATATTGTTCATCGTTGAGATAATTCTATCATAGATAAGAACATTCACTTTTTTCACTAGTTTTAATATCAAAATTGTCATTGTTTTTTTTTTTCTGTCATAATATTGCCATACTTGCGCAAAATAAAACATAATAATCTTTTACTCGAAAATCTTATCATCTGGTATGTTCAAAAATCAATTGATGAATTAGAACAAAGGAAAAAGAATAAGCCGATTGCTCGTATTATCAATATCATTAATTTCTCGTCGATGAAAAATTCGAATGTGCTTCAAAAAATTATTTAGATTTTTTAGCAAGATAACTAAAAATTTGACTCCAACATATATTTGTTGTAGTCAAGTCTTCAATGTATTTTTGTTTCGTTCCTACTGAAAAGATAAAATCATATTTATATATTTCCTTTCCAATTAAAACCAAAACAATCGCACAAAATCGAAATCATTTAGATTTTGTGTAATTCAAACAATAGTTTCGTTGAGCTATGAAATAAGATTCCTTTACTACCACTCATATATTTAATATCTAAAGTGTATTATCAGATTCATAAGAGACCTACAAAGAAAATTTCATGTGTAAAACTAGTATATTCGAAAAAATCGTCTTACTAAAAATTAGTGCAAATTAATATGACTGTCTTTAATAACAAAAAAATTTCAAGTAGGAGGAAAGACTCAGTCTAAGATGACATGATCAACTACATCTGTAGATTATTATTTTAAAACAAACAAACTCCAATCTTAAACTTAACATTAATCTAACATAAATATTAATATATTAAGCTTTGATGATCTTTATTTATTTTAATTTTTTTCAAAAGTTTCGATGTCTTGGAAGAAAACAAAGGATAGATCAATAGAATTTCTCTCCTTCTAGTATATTAATCATGGAGAAGACACTTTCATTACTGTCAGACTTGCATTATATAATAAACTTATCCAGAAAAAGAAGTGCATTTGTTTAATTTCAATTTTTCTTTTTTTATTTGAAATGTTTACAAATTTGATTGTCACTCGAAACTATATGTAGTAGAGATACAATTATATGAAAATTCTTATAAAATGAAACAATATTCAAATTAAAATATGTTAAAGTAAAGAAAGTTTTAACCTAGAAGTTCTTTTTCAAAAATTATTCTATCGAAAATTTTCTGAATCTCTTTTAAAAGATATGATTTTATAAAAAAAAAAAATAATGTTTTTCTTATTTAAAAATCGAACAATAATTGAAAGAGATTAATTAAAATATCTTCTGTCACAAAGAAATATTTCGAATAAAACAAAAATTCTTCGATTTGAATAATCAAACAAGAACACATCACAGTAAAAAAAAAAGAAAATTCATTTCAAATATTTTATTTAACAAAAGCAATATAATAAATATATTACATGATCTTCTTCTTCTTGGTTTTTTTTTATTTGATTTCGAAAGGAAATTAATTTGATTTTAATAAACATCTTTTATTAATTCTAATCTATATATTATTGTGTTTCTTTGAAAAAAAAATTTTTTTTCAAGTTTGAGTACAAATACAAACATCTGTTAAACATGTTTCATATGAAGACAAATCTTGCTTTTAGTCTCAACAAATGAGCGTATTTAAGTAATATTTACTTAGCAAAAGACAATCAAAGGATAAAACAAATATTGTTCAATAATTAAGAAAATAACTAATATATAACGTTATTATTATCTATTTCGATGATATTATTTTATGAACAAGTTATAATTGGCACATATATAGTTATCATCAATCAAATGTCTAGTAAAGAAATAAATGAGTCGAAATCGTATTTTTCATATTATATAGAGAATTTATTGTTCAGCAGATTTACGTTGATATGCAGATGTATTAGTATATTTCATCATGATATGAAATAAAAATTCGAACAACAAAACTGAATATTTAATATGAAAAGAAAATGATTAATAATAATATTGTCATTGGTTGTATGCATGAATGATTTCAAAATGAAACTTGTTTATCAATTGGTTTGTTCTCGTAGATGCAACATTCGGTTTTCGTCTTCAGAATCCAACAATTAGAAGAGAAGAAGAAGAAGAACGACAAAACAAAAGAAATGTCATTATAATAGAAAAACAAATATCATAATGATAATGAAAGAAAGAAAGAAATGTCTATCATGTTATTCAAGATAAACAAGTCTTTATACATGTGCTCTAATCTTAAGATGAAGAATTCCGATATTTCTGTTTTTGAATAAAATTTTTATTTTTATCTTTTAAAAAAGGGTGCTGTAGAATTTTAATTAAATTCTTGTCTATGAATAATTATTTATAATAAAATTATTAAGTTTTAGACAAATTTTAATTGTATTAATTCTTCCTATTCGAAATCTATGAACACTTCTGTTAATAATCATCATACATTCTACTCTACAGAATAATTAGGATTTTTTTTATTTTGAAGAAGCGATTGATGTATATGACAAGATAAAAATTGATGAGATTATATATTGGAAATATATTCAAAAAAATTGTTATTTGAATTTTTTAATAGATCAAACATAAAATAAGAACTAACATTGTTGATTATGACGACTATTTCGTGGACAAATCACAAATATGATTATCATTTAATAAAGACTTGTTTTGAGTTTTGATAGATAAATAGGTAACTATTGAATAGTTTTCAATGAATCAATATCAATTGATTATTTGTCAAGAATTCTTATTGGTTGAATATTAATCAACATAACTCGTCAAATATCTTTCTAGAGTAATAATAATATTTTTACAAGAGTTCAAACAAGATTATTATTATTGATGAGATATTTTTTTTAAATTTCATTTATATTAAACATTATATCATTGTTTAAAATATTCTTCGATAGATATAACATGATGATGATTTTTATTTATAGTTAGATTTTAATTAAATAAATTTCATTCGTTTATTTTTTTTTCAATCATTTCAATAAATATTCAAAAAAAAAAAAAAAAAAGTAAAAAAGATAGTTGTTAAATGAAGTATTAGTAGATTTACAAATAAATATTATCTGTCTGTAAAGAAAAAGATACAATGATTGGAGAAACAGAATACTTCATTAACATTGGAAACTGTTTATTATGTTGAAGAACATACTGAATAAGAAGAGAAGAAATATTTATTTATGTCAACGTAATACGATGTGTAAGAATAACTGTCGACATTGTCAAGAATATCTTTAGGAGGAAAAAAAAAAAAAGAATATCTATTTTTGGGTTTGAGATATGTTAGATCGTTAAAGGAGAGAAAGGCATCTGATCAATAATATAATCAGTTAGCCAACATTCTAGAATTGTATTCTGTTAAAAGAAAAAGAACAGTTGTTGTCAACATGCAGTTGTTTATTATTATTATCCTTGTTGTATCTCTAGTGTTCGCTTTAATTGGTATAACAACTAATTATTGGTATCAAAATTTATCTAATGAAAATGAAGGTTTATGGATTATTTGTCGTCGTCAATCATTTTCATCTTATTCGACATTGAACATAGATAGTTGTGATAAACAACCTTATTTTAAATCACAAGGTTTTGCTATATCTGGTTTTGTTATTTTATCTATTGCTCTTATTTTATCAATAATAAGACGATACAGAAAAAATGATCGAATTTTAGTTTATTTAACAATTCCAACATTTATTATTAGTATAATTCTATTTATTTGTAGTTATTTATTTCATCCAAGAAATCTTAATAGAAGTCAATTTGGTTATTCAATTTATTTTATGTTAGTTAGTAATATTTTAAGTTTGATTACGGCGGGTTTAATTATTTTTAGCGCAGCAACTATTCAATCATGATGAAAATTTATTTTTTCAAACAATATTTTTATTTTTATTTTTGCATGTTAAATAATAAACTAAATGAGAATGTAACAAATTTGATAAAACAATGTTGAATAATGGCATCATCAATCATAGGCCTTTAGGTCATAGAACATCAATCGAAAATGTTATTGGCCACTAAATTTCTACTGCTGATGAATATGCTTCAATGGTTGAATTATTAGTTCTCAGGGACTTTTTTCTTAGGTATATCGACTATTGTCCTTAATTGGTCATATCTAAATATAATTTCAATGGAAAATAGTCCACTACTCTCGAATTCCTGACGACGTTAGTAATATTGAACTTGACGATAATGACATTTTTCAAAGACTCAAACGATCAATTTGATACATATATAAACTATTTATGTGTTTTGAGAGTATTCAAGAAAATCTTGAAATGCTTTTATATTCAAATAAATAAATACGTTTACTTTTTTTCTCGTTAAAGTATACATCAAAGTAAAACAAATTATTCTCTTTCATTGAAATTTCTTCCTAAAAAAGACCATCGATGTATCTTATTGATATCATTATGTGACAGAATAAAATTAATTAGTTATTCATATTGAGAAAGAATATGTGTATCAAACATGTTACAATAGACAAACTGGTCTTTGTCTTAAAGAGAGTCAAGATAAAATTTGGCTTTGTAGCGTCACTCTGTAAGAAAGAAAATAGAAATTCAAAAGCATCATTTATATGAGGTTTTCTATAGCTATCTAGGACATTGATTATCTCTAAAAGACATTTTTACAGTTCTAACGAAGTTTTACAGTATTAGCAATATCTTCACATTACTATTATAATATTTGACACATTTCAAAGTATATTTTCAAAAAAAATATTTACAAGTATAAACAGTTATTACTGCATTATCAGCGGGAGTTAAATTTGAAACACGATCCAACTGCAATCATTGTTAAAAAATTGAATTCATCAACGTATGTTTCGGTTTACGAATTACATTCTGCTTTTAATGCCTGCCGATAAAAAAAAGATGTTAATTCTAATATATTTCGATTACGATGAAGAAAGAATTAAGAACAGCTATGTTAAACTCAGCCGTGTGCCATACTAACTCTGCATTAGATTAGTTTTACGAGCATGCTAGTGATGATCTATAAGGAAGAAATGACTATTCCATAAGATATCTGTTGCAGCGTAGGACGGAGGAGAAGCGTTGACAAAGTGCTATCAAGTTCCATGATTAGAGAAAGAGAGTGTTACTTAGGTGTCTTTCTTGTGGTTGGTGAAGTGTCCTTGTTAACGTGTCTGTCACGCCTATGACGAGAGGTGGCAGAGTATATAGCCAAATAACTTTAATTTTCTTAGTGGTTTGATATGCAATCAAGTTCTATAACATTTCACATGATAGTGCACGAAAGGCACTACAAAGTGAATAGTTACTTTCTATTTAAAAACACTTTGTTAAGAAATGTTTTCTCCAAAACAGCAAATCTTTTTCGTTGTTTGGCATCTGTTGTGCATTAACTGTAGGAGGAATTAGAATTTCTATTCCTATATTTCAATACTCTTTTTAGATTGTGTTTCACAAAAATATTAGTCATCTACGAAAATTTTAAAAAATTCAGTTGCATTGCAGCTTATTCATTATTTCGATGAAAATGAAAAACGAAGTAGTACATACATGTAGAGTGACTATTAAAAAGCTGTATAAACTGCTTTTTTTATCAGTTAGAGTGTTATTCTTTTACAAAGTAGATCCCATATGCTTATTTGTGCAATCTTCTGTCTGACAGTTGGAGATCTTTTCCCATGAATTGTAAAAAAACGATTAAATCATTTAAAAAAATAAAATAAAATTCGTTTTATATTTCTGGAAATATGATTACAAAGACTTTTAAAAAATTGTTAATAATAAAATAAAATTAAAAAGGTCGATATAAATCAGTTGTTTCAAGTTCAAAAAC